TCCAAGCACGTAGTATCTAAGAGGACTATTGTTTGGGTGGCAAATAGGGATATACATGTCTCCGATATGACCATTTCTCTGAGAAATTAGATGTATTCAGCTTCAGAGTGTTTTGTTGGAGATTATAAGTGGAAAGAAGAATGTTGTTTTTTATCGCTTTCAAAATTCAGCAACTCTGCTGGATGGGTAAGTACTAAAACATTATTCTAACTCATTCTCATTCTGTGTTTAACTCTTGCAAATTTATGAGTAATCTATATATATATATATATATATTGAATTTTAATTAGGCATGGGAGTTGTGGAAAGACGGAAAAGGAAAGGAGGTGATTGATGGATCAATAGGGGAAACATGCTGGCCTGATGGGGCTCAAAGGTGTATCCATGTGGGGTTTTTGTGCGTACAAGAAGAGCCAGATGATCGACTAACAATGTCTTCGGTAGTTCATAGCTGCAGAGCAATGAAGCTACACCTCCTCCACTTTCCAAAAAAACCTTCGTTTTCGACACATAAGAATCTTGGTACTGTTGGTTCTTCTCCTCGAACACCTACCAATTTTTCCCATAATTTAGTCACCATGAGTTTGCCAGAAGGTCGATAGGGGTTGCATGAGCAGTGACTGAAAAGAAAATAAGAAAATAGTATAGTAAATTAGAGAAAAACATCACGACAAACTATAAGTTTTATACAAACGCTTCAAGCATTCATTTTCGGGAGAGATTCAAGCCGTATTTGGAGACTTCAAAGCACATTTCTGGCACATGTCAAACTATATTTGAAGAGGTCAAAGCACATTCTGGCACATCTAAATTATTATCCTTATTAGCTAGGTTCACTATTGTGGCATAATGAGTGTTTGCATTTGTTTATGCGATTTGTTTACTGTCACAATGTCGAACTTACTGCAGTAATATCTTGTTCTCTCAATTCTTTTGAATGTGCGAAATGTCGAGCTTATTGTAGCAAATATGTAGTTTATATATTCTATTGATTGAGAAAACGTTCATAGAATTAACTCAATTGTTTTTTGGTAAGTACAATATGAACACATTGTCACCGAATCATAGGATACAATTCCCTTCATACCATCGATGTTAAGAAAAAGATACAACATCACAGACTTATAGGATACAATTTGATTAGTATGAGGGACAAATCTCACGATATGAATAGTTACCCAACTGTCTGTGTTTTGCCGATCGACTGGCTCCTCACGTCCTACAAAAGTTATACATCATCAGAGAAAACCCTATTTGATTAGATGGTGAAAGCATTACAAATTAATTTACAACCTAGTCTTGGATTGTTGGAGAAGGTACACGTGTCCTAATATCCAGGTTTGACAAGTCAACCTCGGACCCAAAAAAATAGTGTTTGTCCGTCTAACCTTAGACCTCGGACCTTCACTCACATACCCGGCCATTAGAAACTGTCACACCCCAAGTTTTCGAATTCTTCTAAATCCAGAAATAATATATCCGCCATTGTAATTTTCTAACCTTTTCTTTCCCAGAAAGAATCAGAAACAATTTGAGTTTCAGAATGTGGGGACATTCTTTCTTTGAGACAGCCTCGAGGCTTTTCCATCAACGTTCCTCTCTATGCAAGATTCTTGTTGTTGTCACTGTGAGGTACTTGTTCAGTTATGAAACATACGTATGTTCTTTATTTTAAAAAACAATCGATTGTCAATATCGGTATATTTTTCAGAATAATAATATGTATTCATTTTTTAATAAAGAACAGACGTCATGCACATGAAATTTCTCTCTTTAACACACATGTTTATCGTGCCTGCATAATTTTTGTTTTTTTTTCTTTTGCAAGGATTTATGTATTTATTTATTTATATCTTTTTTGCCGATTATATATGGTGCATAACATCTTTGGCATTTTATGTTAAATGAAACTCTGCATATCATGATTTCTTCTGACTTGCATTGCATATATTTGCAGTGGGGGAGGCCTAGCAACATTTCATGAGACCAAACCAGTCCATACTGTATATGCTGATTCGGCTCAGGAAGCCGAAACAAGCAGGAAAAAGAAGGTGGTAGTACTAGGAACCGGTTGGGCTGGAGTCAGTTTCTTGAAGAATTTGAGGAGTTCTTCTTATGATGTTGAAGTGGTGTCACCCAAAAATTATTTCATGTTCACGCCTTTGCTACCGAGTGTTACATGTGGCACGGTTGAAGCACGCAGCATTGTTGAACCAATTCGCAAGATTACTGAGAAGGTATGTGCCTAGACATGTAATGTGTATAAATTTTATGATCTGGATGATTGATTAATTGGATATGATGAGACAATTATGCTTAATTCTCTTTGGTTTCAATGATATGGCAGAAAGGTTTAGATGTTGAATTCAGGGAAGCAGAATGTTATCGAATCGATCCAAAGAATAAGAAAGTTCTCTGTCGATCAACCCAACACAGTAATTTGGGTTTGAAAGAAGCTGAGTTTAGCGTAGATTACGACTACCTGATCGTTGCAATGGGAGCCAAAACAAACACATTTAACACTCCTGGTGTTGAGCAATATGCTCATTTCTTGAAGGTAACTTAAACTTATTCTTCCTCCCATGTCCGAAAAGTATTTTACAAGATGAAGAAATAGTAAGTGTTAATGTTGGGTTTGAGCTTTTGATTTGCAGGGAATAGAAGACGCTGTGAGGATCCGACAGACTGTGATTGACTGTTTTGAAAGGGCAAGTCTTCCTAGTGCAAGCGAAGAAGAGAAGAAGAAACTTCTGAGTTTTGTATGTGTTGGTGGCGGTCCAGCTGGTGTAGAGTTTGCTGCAGAGCTTCATGACTTTGTAAAAGACGATTTAGCCAAATTATACCCTTCAGTTACAGGATACGTAAAAATTACTGTGATCGAAGCAAGTGATCATATTTTGAACATGTAAGGCATGCATACAGGTTTCTGTATTAGGGTTTTACATGTTTAAAGATGCTAATTTAATTTTTACACACTTGGTTAATTTGGTGTTGCAGGTTTGACAAGAGAATTACTGCATTTGCTGAAGGGAAGTTCTTCCGAGACGGAATTGATGTAAAAACAGGTTCACTGGTCGTAAAATTAACTGATAAGGAAGTCTCCGCTAAGGATAGAGACACAGGAAAAATTTCAAATATACCTTATGGGATGGTTCTCTGGGCAACTGGTATCGGGCCACGCCCTGAGATTATCGATTTTATGAAGCAGATTGGTCAGGTTTGATACGAACTTGTGCTTGTTTCCAATTGTAGTCGAGAGCTTAACTTTGGATTTGATGCTTCAATTAATCAAATGATGTAATTTGTCTGCACAAAACAGACTAATCGGCGTGTTTTGGCTACGGATGAATGGCTGAGGGTGGAAGGATGTGACGGCGTGTATGCTTTAGGTGATTGTGCAACAGTAAATCAACGCCGTGTCGTGGTATCTATTTAATGTTTTTCTGCTTATGCCATGCATTGCAGTATGGTTGAAAGTGTCGATGCATGTATTGTTGTATGGTAGAATTTGCCGATTCTATGTATGATATTTTGTTGTCATTGCATACCGATTTGTTGTCAGGATGATATTGTTTCAATATTCCGAAAGGCAGATAAGGACAACTCTGGTACATTAAGTCTAGAGGAATTTCAAGAAGTCATGGAGGACCTCATGGTCAGGTATCCTCAACTGAGCCTTCATTTGAAGAGCAAGCATATGAGGAATATTGATGAGTTGCTGGAAAATAGTTGGAAAAACCCGAAAGATGAAGTCGATATTGAAACGTTTAAAGCAGCTCTTTCCCAAGCAGATTCGCAGATGAAAAATCTTCCGGCAACTGCCCAGGTTAACTCATTATATTCACTTCTTTTTCCATCACATCTCCTAATCCTCTAACTCATATTCCATTTCTTTAACTATTTTTGTTTTCTAAATTCTAATAATTTAGGTAGCTGCTCAACAAGGTGCCTACCTTGCCGACTGTTTCAATCGTATGGAGGAATGTGAGAAGTACCCTGAAGGTCCCCTCAAGTTCAGGGATGTTGGACGCCACCGCTTTCAACCCTTCAGGTGAAATTCTATCACCAATCCATCATACAACCGACTTTAATGTCGTGCTTAGTTACAATGCTATGCTACTAGGCTCGTTGGCCTGAACTTTTTATATGATTTACTTGAAGGTACAAACACTTTGGGATGTTTGCCCCACTGGGAGGAGAACAAACTGCAGCTCATCTTCCAGGAGATTGGGTCTCAATTGGCCAGAGCACTCAGTGGCTCTGGTACTCAGTATATGCTAGGTAAATATCTGATACACATTTTCTTTCACTCAGCTTAAATCCGGCATTAGCATATCGGTTTCTGCTGAAAGTTCTCGGAATTTTTGCAGCAAGCTAGTGAGTTGGCGCACAAGGGTGCTGGTGGTTTCGGACTGGGGAAGGCGATCTATTTTCGGAAGGGACACCAGTCGGATTTGAGACCAGATGGGAGCATATATATCATCACACTGGAACTGTGTTTCCACCATTTGTCTTGCAATATATTAGGCAGAGCATTGGTTCCATTTATTTCTTACTGTCAAACTTGTAACCGGATTGAAGTTATGATATTTGTACTGCATATATGCAAATAACTCATTTGTATTTTGTATGCAACTAGTAGTTGTTTGTATGAACCAAGCCAAGACTGGAAATCTACAGTCTAAAGGTTAAGGAGCTAAGCGCTCAAATGGTTAACAACTTTTATTGTTTGCACCCGAGGTTCTAGATTCAATTCTCTTCTACAATATTGGTTGTATTGAAAGAAAAACTTTATAAATGATAGCTAAAAACATCAACCATGTCAACGAAAGAGATCAAAGTTGAAATGAACAGAAGTCAACTTTTCTTAACCTGTCTCCTTTTTATAAAGATATAATGTCTTATTTAGAAGTTCGTCTGTTCAAAAACCGAACTAGGGACACTGAGAGAGAGGGTGGGATCAATGAATGGGCAAGTGTAGGCCTGAAAACCAAGGGATAAGGTATATGTGATTTTTTGTGTCTTGCCGTATAGTACAAGTGAACCGGGTGCTAGATCTTAGAATTTCTCCCTATCAAGAGCAGGGAAAATGATTATGTACAACAAAATGGCAAAACTGGGCCAAAAAGAAAGAAGTCCAAAAAAACCAAGAGAGAAGTGAAAAAACCAAGTGTGCCGGCTTGTTTAAAGCACTTCTATTAAAACCCGCGCAGCCGCTCCTCAACGTTCTTCTCCTAAGTCCAGTGACTGACGGCTGTGGCATTTCATCAAACACCTTACCTGCACTTCCGAACCCCCCACCCCGTCCGCTATGAATATCCAGAGCATGCTATCTTCTTCCTCAAGGTGCTTGCGATGCTACATAGCAGCAGCAGCAGCATCAGACGTACGCGCTCTCACTTTCCTCCCCAACTCCGCTCCAATTCGGCGCCCGAATCACAACCCCCCGCCATTCTCCACCTCAGTCGATCCGCCATTGTTTTCCACCGCAACCAGATTCATCAGCAGCTCTCGGACCTCTTCTTCCCCAGAGCAAGAAGCTACCCTGAATCAAATTCTTTCCTCCATACAAAACGCCGCCACGTTACTCGAATCCTTGTACGAAAACCGCCTTTTCCTCAGCCCCAAATCGTTCAACAGCGTGCTGGTTGCGGCCGCCGCCGAAAGCGGCGACCTTTCCCTCCTATCTCAGCTTCTTCAGGTCGCAATCGCGTCTTCTCAACCTTTAAATTCTGCTTGTTTTCTCACTGTCGCCAAAGCTTTCGCAAAGTCGGATGATTGCGCGGAGCTGCTCAGATTAACCAAGCAGGTAATGGAGCTCACCGCTCCCAGCATGACAGTCATAAACAGGATTCTCTTTGCTTTTGGCGAATGCGGAGAGACTGAGAAGGCGCTCCTGATCTTTTCCCAGATGAAAACTCTTGCTTTCGTGCCCGATTTGTACACCCACAACACTGTTTTAGAGATTTTAGGATGTGCCGGTAGGATTGATGAATTGGTGGGTCAGTTCGGGGTTATGAAAGAGGCCGGCATTGTCCCTGATGTGGTTTCTTACAATACTGTGTTGAACAATTTGAGGAAGCTTGGGAAATTCGATGTGTGTTTGTTTTACTTCAAGGAAATGGGTGAAAATGGAGTGGAGGCAGATTTGCTTACTTATACTGCAGTGATTGAGAGCCTGGGAAGATCAGGAAATGTTGAGGAGGCATTGAGATTCTTCGATGAGATGAAGGCGAGGGAGATTCGTCCTTCCCTGTATGTTTATCGGTCGCTGATCACGAACCTGAAGAAGATGGGGAAGGTGGACTTGGCATTGAGTTTAACGGAGGAGATGAATTCGTGTGATTCGGAGCTTGCTGGTCCAATGGATTTCAAACGTAATAAACGGTTGTAAATAGTTATAAGCTGGAGATACCTTCTGGTTTTCGATTTGTAGGTCTCTTGTTATTGCCATTTGATGTAGTTGTATGGTGATTTAAATCTGCTATTCACTTTGTTTGCCCAGTTTTGAAATGATTTGTATCAAACATGATTTGAATTCAACAGTTTTTCTTCGAGCAAAGCTGTTCTTATTTGCAGACTGATGATACTCAGATTACTAGTCCTATGGACTTCAAATGAAATATACACTTGTAAGTAGTTAGAAGCTGAAGTTATCTTTTGGTTTTCGGTTTCAAGGTCTCTTGCTATTGGCAATTGGTATATAGTTGTATACCAATTGGTATATATTTGTATACCAATTGGAACGATTTTGTATCAAGATTCAGATTTCGACACTTTTGTTTGAGTGAAATCGTTGTTATTAGCAGACACATCTCGCTAGGAAGCAAGAAAATAGCTTCATCTATTATTATTGCATAGCAGAGAAACCAGAGACTTACAAACCCAATTAACCAATACAAAATGCATACTTACTCCATAACAAGAGTTATGGCTAACTGAAAATCAAGTAAACTTTTGAACAAAAATTAACAAATTCAGTCGAGGTGAAGTTCCTCGACAATTCCACTTATTCTTCCTCAGCACCTTCTTCTGCAAAACTCAATTCATGGCAAACCTCCCCATTGGTGCTAAAGTAGGATTTCATCCCAACCAATTCAGCAGCCCTTTTGGCTGGCCCCGAACCCCTCGGAGTATCAATACCACATCGGACTGTCTTAATTTTTGGCAGCACATCTCCTATCTCAACTGAAGGTGACTTGTTATCCTCTGCTGCAACTTGGTACACCACTATCTCACTTGGAATCTCCCACCTCTTCTTCACCCGGCACTCCGGTCCTTGACTCCTGGATGTCTCACGGGCAATGCCATGCGGCTTTCCAACCAAGGAGACCCGCCTCTTGTCACCTCTCTTACTGTCATCCTTATCATCCTCAGGCCAAGACCGCTTCCGACCATCACTCACTGCCGAATTCCCAATCTGATTGTACCTACTAGGCACAACCCTCCCAGGCTTGAATGGTGTTTTCTTAGCAGGCACAGACTTCTCGGCTCCGTCTTTAAAAAGCTTCTTGGGTCCAATTGATGCAAGAACCTTGTCTTGCTTCTTCACAGGCCTTTTGGACCCTCCAACAGTAGTTGCAGCCTGTTTCGGAGCTTGAACCTTGGACACAGTTTTCCTCGATTTCGGACTCAAACTCAAACTCTTGCCCCTCTCTTTCGTAGCCCTCAATTCATCGATGTCCTGAAGCTTCCAAAAGCACGATTTCCGGCGACTCTGCGTTGCCTGAACAGGGGTGATCTCGAACTTACTCGGCCTCTGAAATCCGGCTCCAGCTATAATCTCAGACGGCCCCAAACTCATTCCTCTCCGATTATCCTTCGACCTCACGCTCATCATCATAGACTCAATCTTTTTCAACCCATCCAAATTCTTCACACCTTGTTTCTGCTCCATGAACTTCGCCGCCACAACCCTTCCACGCTTCTCTACCGCCTTCTCGTTTCTCTCAGCCTTTTCAAGTTTAAGCGCTTCCAGCCTCGAATTCAATCTACTAATCTCCTTCTCAATCTCTTCAATCTCCGCATCGATCTTCCCCTCATCTCGAACTCTCTCTTCTCCTTCTTTAACCTCTGCAAGACCCTTCTTCTTCGCAACCGCCGAGAAGGGATCAAGATTCGTATTTGTGTCCAGCGGCTTGAAGGGCACCGAAGATTTGACGCAGACAGGGGTTTTCAGAATCGCGGGGCTCAGATTCTCTTTGCTGCAACCCGATTCAAACGACTCGGAAGAGCAATTCAGCGAAAGGGGTTGGAGTATATCGGACCAGGAAGCCTTCACGACGGAGGAGCCACCTTCGGAGTCTTCGTTGTCGAAGGCGGCGTTGTTCCACACCTGAAGGTCTGGTGCGTTAATGGCGTCTTGGCATTCAACTACACTCATTTTCGCTCACTGGGTTCGAAGTTCAAACGATTTTAGGGGAAGATGGAAAGATTAGATGATGGGGTTTTGTACTGTAACTGCTGGTTTGTGATTCTTGGACGTGAGAGAGAGAGAGAGAGAGAGAGAGAGAGAGAGAGAGAGAGGCGATCTTTATTTTTTTTTGTATTTCGAGATTTTTGACCGTTGGGAAGAAATTTAGGAGTTGGGGCCAGCCTGAGGCTCCATGTAATCGTAGCCGTCGGATGCTAAACGGCTCCTATAGACGCTCCGATTTGAGTTAAAGTTTTTTGTTTTTAATGAGATTTGAAGTATTTTTGCTCTCGTTTTTTTTGGACATATTTGTTTTTACCTTTTACGTTTATATTTTTTTGGTTCAGAGGTTATATTACGTAGGGCTGTGCCCAATTTCTCAGAAAATATAATTTTGTTTTTTTCAAACACTAAATTGGGTGATTTTGGGAAACCCAATTTTTGAATGTTTAAAAATTGAAAACTGAAGAGAACCAATATATAATTCTTGACATCACATGGTAAAATCCTTGTTTTTCAACATTATATTGTATAGAAAAGTCTCGTTCAGTAACTCGAACTTGACATGAGTATCGTAAGGTGGTGTCACCTCTAACGTTTTTTTTCTTCTATTAAGATTAGACATCTTTCATATTTGGTGCTCTTAATCATGTGAGGACTAGATTCATTAAAATTGACAGTTGTGCGACCTATTAGTTAGTACAAGAAAATCTCGATCATGTCCTCGCCCGCCCACCCAAAGAGGCAAGAGCATGATTCTAATTTTTCATGGTATAAAGTTGTATTTCAATTTTTTTTTTCAATTAATTTGGTTATTTTTTTTATGGAATTAATTTGGTAGTATTGAAATTTTTTGGAACAGTTCCTTCGGGATTACAAGCATTACGGGTGGAATATGACTCTTCCCTTCACCACAGAACTAATAATGGAGAATGGTAATTCAACTTATTTACGATTATACCAAAAATAATTGGCTGACAAATTTCCAACTTATAAAAAATAAAGATGCCAGCTTTTTCGCATCAATATATGAATAGGAAGGCTCCGATTAGAGAGACAGAGATATCGGGGCGTAATCTTTTTGTGAATAGTGCTGAAGTGAAGAAAGCTCAACAAAAACATACGAACACTATGCTCATAATTGAGATCGCTGACCATTTCATAGAACATATATGCTTGACTTTCCGCGATGCTCTTTTGGAGTGACCTACCAAACCAGCGATTGATGACACTTTCCAAGAAAAAATTCCCGGAGTGTTGGGTGTCCAAAGGTCATGACTCAGCCCCAACCCAATCCTCTAGCCGCAGCCCACTCAGCCCACTTCCAATCTTTCTCTATAAACAAAGGGTCGAAGTCGAAACCCTAAATCTTTTGCCTTGTCAAAAGACAACTCTTGTGACTGTAAGTTGGAAACTTTCCTGTATCTTCTTCTTCCTCCTCCATTATTCTTCTCTTCTTTCTTCTTATGTAAAGTAAATTCTCTTTATATGTATCTTCACTAATATGTATGTATATTTATATGTGTTTATATACACGATGAACTCAATTATCCGAACTTCTATTTTTTAAGATGCACTTTATATATATATATATATATATATATATATATATATATATATATTAGCGTTTCGTATAAATAAGTTTTATTTAGGCCCTGATCATCATCAGCACTGACTTGAGGGGCGTTTTCTTTTATATTTTCATCAGGTAATGAACCCCTTAACCCATGGAAATCACCAGAGCTTTTATAGAGGGAGAAAAGAAAGCACACAATGAGCAAAAGTGCAGTATTGACAGAATCAGCAATCTTCCAAACGATGTTTTGTACCAAATACTCTCCTTGTTACCCTTCAAATACACAGCACGAACCAGTGTTTTATCTAGAAGATGGAGATATCTATGGACTTCCGTTCCCGTCCTCGACTTCTGTGCGGGCTTCACATCTGAGGTCGATGATACAAAACGGATGCAGTTCATAACCACTGTTTTGACTCGTCGTCAAGAAAACTCCAACATAAAGGTTTTTCGCATTGCGAGTGAAGAATCTAGAGATGCGAGTTTTGAATTTTTACATGACTGCATCTGCTGGGTTGTGCAGCATAATCAGGTTGAAGAAATTGTACTCTATCTGAAGATCGTAAATGGCAGGTTTGATTTGCCTCTTTGTGTATCTGAGTGTGATTCATTGAGGAGTCTCACACTGGCAGCCACTAGCGGTTTTTACTTTCTCCGTGTTAGGATGGCTACTACTACTATTGGTCTCCGTTCACTTCACACCTTGTCTTTAATTCGTGTGAAATTCTTGGATAATAGGGATTTGGTTATGGATTTATTTTCTGATTCAACATTCCCTTTCCTTGAGAAATTGACCATTTTAATATGTAGAGGAATATGTGATCTCAAAATAAGTTGTTCGCGCCTTGAATATGTACGAATGTTCCGAACAGATTTATTTAGGCTGCACATATGTGGAATGAGACTGAAGAATTTGGACGTTGTGGGCTGTTTCATCCATGCAACTCAAAGTTTCGTTGACATATTTGCTCCAAATCTGCAGACGTTTCGTTGGAAACATAATTACCTTACAACTGGGAAGTATTTGATCCAAATCTCTCCTACCATGAGAACATCTGACGTAAATTTTTTGGTCCGGGGCAATGATATTAGCATGGCGATGACTTGTGTCGCAGTCAATCTTTTGTGCGGATTATCCCATGTTCAACAACTTGTCCTCAGCATCGATGCTCTCCAGGTTCATTTGCTCATCTGTTTTCTTGTCTACTACTTTGAAGCTCTTTAGACTTTTAATTTCATAAAATGAGATATATATATATATATATATATATTAGACTAGAGAAATTGTGTTAAGTGATGATATCATCTACTTGTATGCATTTTCTGAATTATTTAATTGATATATGGCATATTTAACCACATCCAGGTTTTATCCAGAATATATTTCGAAGATGGTCTACCAAATTCATTTGTGAAACTTCAGACGTTGGAAATTCAAACTGAGGGCTTTGGCAAACGTGAGATCCCAGGTCTAACGTGCCTGTTCAAGAGCTCTCCCATACTCCACACTCTCAAAATCGACATATCCAATGGCAGCGACCATAATGATGTAAGTTTTTGCCTACTTAGAGTGTACTGTATATTGGCAAGTTTACAAGGACAGATGAGGTTTAAGGTTACGCTGTGAACTTTATAGAGTTTTGAATATAACTAGTAACGATTAACGACATATTTTATAATTTTGTTGCAGGTATGGAACAACAGTTTATTGGACATTACTGAATGCACTGAAGAACAGTACTGGGAAAGTCAAGCTCAGGTTTTGAGTCCCTCCCTTTGTCATCTAAAGGTGGTGAAGATCGTTGTTGCCAGTTATCCTATGAATCTTATGATCCCCGAGAGTGTGATTAGCGTTGTGAGGGTTTTACTTCAATATGGAGGAGGATTGCAAGACATGGTTCTCAGTTCTTATCACCCGACATATTTCCGAGATCCTTGGAAGGATACAATTGGTTTAATAGAGGGATTTCCGCGAGCATCTGCCAATGTCAAAATCTCAATCGTTTTGCTTGCTGACTGATTGTTTTTCAATGTGCATGGATCCATGTAGATGATGAAGCTATTGGCTGGTTCTTCATGTTTAATATGTGATCAAAACGAAAATGTAACTAAAAACATCTCCCATGTATGCAAATTGAATATAAACTTGATGGATTGGTGATGTCAACAGTGCAAGTTAGAAAACTTACAACCGCAGGATTTAATCTCACTGATTAAGCCTCCACCATTTGATCGACAGAAAAACACTGCCCGCTAACTAAGAGAGTCAAAACAGAGCTGAACTCTCTCTCTCTCTCTCTCCACCCTGAACTCGCACGCTCAGTCTCCCAGTCTCGCCGTCACTACCCACCACCACCAGCCCCCTCTTCGTTCGCCGTCCATCACCACCGCATATCTACCTCCATCTCGTCCTCCAGCTTCCACATCCAGCTAAGCCGCCAAATGTTAAAATGAAACCCCAAATTGAAGTCCATATCGAGTCCTCGACCTCCATCTTCCACCTGCAGCTTAAAACAAGGTATTATTTGTGTTATCCCTCTCCAATTTGGTTTGATTCTTCAATTTTGAAATTAGTGATTTATTGTTTCGAATTTGGATTCTTCAACATCCAGCTAAGCCGCCAAATGTTAAAATGAAACCCCAAATTGAAGTCCATATCGAGTCCTCGACCTCCATCTTCCACCTGCAGCTTAAAACAAGGTATTATTTGTGTTATCCCTCTCCAATTGATTCTTCAATTTGGTTTGGGAGCAGCCTCTCCATAAATGGAGGTAAGGCTAGCCGACATTCACCTCTCCCAGACCCTGTGTAAAGCGGGAGCCTTGTGCACTGGGTACGACCAGTGATTTATTGTTTCGAATTAGGATTTCAATTGTTGCTTTTATAATTCAAATTTATTATCCATTCCCCCCCAAAAAATGATAATTTTTTCCTACTATTTTATTCGAGTTGTACGCTCACCATGAGAGCGTTGGGGCGAAACTCTATTCGGAGTCCATATGAAAAAGTTGCAAAATTGCACGTGGAACTCCAATTATTAATGTGTCGTGGGGCCACGCTACCGACACTCTATCCTCTTTACTTAACACGTCCTGATTATGATATTCTTCAAACACCTAAGGGTGACAAAATCATTTTAACATGCATGCAAGTTATGAAGAAAGAATAAACGAAAATAAAATATGTAAATTTAAAATATAATGAAATATGCAAATGCGGGAAAGTGTTTAGAGCATACAACTAATCAAGAGTACTACGAAAGGAATATGATTACAAAGAAAAAGGGGTTCTACACCGAGAGGACTCGAAGGTACCAATACGGGAATGCCTCAACGCCGAGATCCTACGCCTTGTTTTTAAGTCCTGAAGGGGGTGCAAAACAAAACGTGAGTGG